AGTTTGTGTGGCTCTACGCATCGAAAACCACGGCAGCAGATGTCGTCATAAATCAGTTGAAATGGCAGGCGGTGACGTTTGGGAATCCGAAACGCATCATCTCGGATAGCGGCGCGGCTTTTACTTCGAATTCCTTCAGAGAGTACTGCGAACACGAAGGAATACAGCATCTCCTGGTAGCCACGGGTGTCCCCAGAGGAAATGGGTAGGTGGAGCGCACACACAAAATAATCATCCCGATGCTTGCGAAAATGTGCGTCGACGATCCCAGTCAGTGGTACAAACACCTTGAGCGAGTTCAACAAGCCAACAATAGCACGCCGCCGCGAAGCACGAAGATCTCACCCTTCAGGCTGTTAACGGGAGTCGAGATGCGAGTTAACGTCATCCCTGAATTGCGGCAGCTCATAGAGGACGCTGCCATCGAGGAGTTGGACACTGAGCGGGAAGAGTTACGAAAGAAAGCACAGGAAAGCATCAACAAGATCCAGCAGGAGAATCGTCGATCTTTTAACAAGAAGCGGAAAGAAGCGGTGAAGTACCAGATCAACGAGCTAGTAGCCATTAAGCGGACACAATACGGTGTTGGTCTTAAGCTGAAGCCGAAGTTTTTGGGCCCCTACAAAATTACGAAGGTCTTGGGCCACGACAGATATGAGGTACGAAGGGTGGGTGACCATGAAGGTCCCGGAAATACTACAACAGTCGGCGAATATATGAAAAAGTGGGATCCGGCAATCGAGCCACCAAGCGTGTCATCATTCGAGCCGAATGATCGGTCAGGAGGGCCGAATGTGGGATTGGGTCCGAGCAGACGGTAACACTGACGTTAGTCCTTAAATATAGGCAACCCTACTGACCGAACTTAACGAACGCACGCCAATGATGGCTGACCTAACTGTAGCCAAAGAACATAAAATTCAATTCATTGTCGACCGTCACCGCGATTGCTTGCCTGCCACCGCGATTAATATAAGTTTTGCCAAACTACAACTGTACTGTGTGTATTACATTTAAAGAATTCAATAAAATATAAAGTAAATGAAAATAAAACACTCGGCATCCTACATGTATTATACCAATTCAGACCAAGCCCCGTCATCTTCACCTGTTTCTCCTTCCGAGGGTATGTTTGGATCTGAACAACCCTATCCGACTCCATCAACTTCAGGGGCAAAGCGACGTCGGCTTGACGATGGGTACGTCAAAGTTGTTGAGCGGGTCTTAGAGACGATCACTACTGCTACCAAAAATGATTCTTGGGACGACATCGGCAATTTTGTTGCCTCAAATGACGTGTATGGGAGGCGGGAAATCCGCAACTTGCCAACGAATTTAAGAGTGATATCTATGAGGTAGTATTCAGATATCAAAAGAGTTTAACAGAGCTGACGGAGGTGAGTGGAGTGCAATTATATATATACATACATACATATGTAAGTGCATATTACGTACATATTAATATATTTTCATCTACAGTTCATTCCAGCACAGTTTCTTTTGGAGTAAAATTTTTTCTTTTGTAGAAGTGCCTTATTTATGTTTAGTTCAGAGACGGATAAGTGTTAACGATATATTTAAGCAAATATGTATTGCTTTTTACACTCTGTAAAATTTTAACTTAAAAACATTAGTTGCGAAGCTGTTCTACTAGCTTAAACAATACATGCTTGTACAGTGGTGTGGAAGGATTTTTTTTTAAATTCCAACTATATTTGGCACCTCTATGCATATTTACCTATCAGTGGTTTCATTCCTGAAATTTAAAAGCCATTCTAAAAGCTTAATAAAGCCAGTGAAATGCCAATATATGTATATATTGAAAAAACCTTTTTATACGGCTATTCACATGTACGAACGTCATTAGTATTTAAGTAAGTATAGATGTTTGTAGAGTTGGGATTTCTGGAAAATTCTTCCATGTCATAGTACATACACTCATGGACAAACAAACAAGTTTACGACATTTGGTCCAGTTTTGGCTATTTTTCTTTTATTTTTTGTACAAAGTTTAGAATGTGGTTTTAAATCGTGTTTGTTATATAATGAGCTAGACTTTCATAAAAAATAGAATAAAAAAGCATTAAATAAAAGAAAGAAAAATAGCAAAAACTGGTCAAAATGTCGCAACTGCATGGTGATTATTGTTAAATATTTGCGATGTTTTTCAAGCTATTTTTTTATAAAAATATGGTTCATGCTTTGCGGTTTTTTCATATAACAAGTGCAATTTATAAAAAAATAGCGCTAATTTTTAAAATTTTGTTTGTAAACGGTCTTGCGCGTTTTTTCTACAAGAAATGCACTTTTATATAGTAAAAAGTGAAAAAGGCCGTCAGAAAAAAAAATTAAAAATCAACGCGATTTTTCACACGCTGAAAACTTGCACTTGTTTTACTAAAATTACATAACCGATGTACCTGCATACCCAGAATATTTCTAAAAATTCTGACAAAAAAGTTCAAAATTTAGATGAAAATTTTTTGAATTTTTCTAATTTCTGTATAAAGTTTGAGAGTTTGACTTATGTGGTTTTGGTTAAAGCATGAACCATATTTTTATAAAAAACTTTTACTTGAAAAACATTGGAAATATTTAACAAAAATCAAGATGCACTCGCCATTTGCTCGACCATTTTTACTGTAGCTTTAGTTGAACTTAAATTTTCTAATGAATTGCTTGCTTTTAGTTATGTTAAACATATGTTTTATGTTAATATCTATCTAGATTTTAATCCAAAATAAACCGCAAATTACCATAGATTTATTTACTTTATTTTTATTCTTCGTATATAATATCATAAAAATAAATTTTTATTTTTTTTTATTAAAAAAATTCATTGGAACGCAGAAATGTACACAAAAACTTTATGAAATTGAATTCTAAAGATAGGTATGGTGTTTTGTTTTGCTTTGAGCACGCAAAAAATTGTATTCACAGTTTTACAAAATATTTTAAATTTAAAATAAAGGATATACAAGGATAAAATATACACTGGCCCACAAAAAATAGCAGTGCAACATTTTGACCAGTTCTGACTATTTTTATATTTTAATGTTCATTAATTTTTTATAAGTATAGCTCATTAGATATATGACAAGACAATATACAAATTTTCATAAATCCAAGTTTCAAGCTTTGTACGAAAATTAGAAATATGTATCAACAAATTTCTACTAGATTGCATGTAATTTCAAAATTCTTTTATCAGAATTAAAAATTTTTAGTACGCAGTTGTATAGCCCATTTAATTCTAGTATTATAAAGTCCAAATTTAAAGTGTCTTAAAATTCGAGTTGATTTTTGAAAATTTTTCTTGCTGGTGGTGTTAAGCATTTTCTTTCATCAGCAAGAAAATTTTTTAAAAATAAACGCGAATTTTAATACGCTTTAAATTAGTACTTTATAATACTAAAATTAAATGGGCTATAAAACTGCTTACTCAAAATTTTCAATTCTGATAAAAGAATTTTGAAATTACATGCAATTTAGTAGAAATTTGTTGATATACATTTCTAATTTTCGTACAAAGCTTGAAACTTGGATTTATGAACATTTGTATATTGTCTTATCATATATCTAATGAGCTATACTTTTATAAAAAACAATATTCAATTCCAACTTTGTTATATTAAATGATATTATTTTTTTCACTTATGTTTATTTATTTATTTTTACTAGTTTTCATTTAAGATATAGTTCGATCAATAACAGAAACAACATAAATAAGGGTTTCAAAAATTGCACCAAGTTCACAAAAAGAACCAAACTTCAAACTCGAAAATTTTCTCAAAATTCTGAACAAAAAATCTTCTACAAACAAAAATTTCTAGTCGGCGTCCACCAAAGCCATCAGGACAATACTATTGTATTTTTTGTAGTTAAAATACTCTGAACCGCAGTTTGCAGGCGCCTGAATCGCTATATGTTTTCCATCCAATGCCCCACAGCTATTAGGGAAATCCCATCGCTGGTCAAAACGGTCGGCAACCTTTGACCATTCTTCATGAGTACTAGGAACCTTGATGAGTAATAGACTTTGCACTTTGTCACTGATTAAAAAAAATTACATGAATACTCACCTTTAAAAAATCATCTTTTAAAGTTCGAAAATAGCCCGACATGTCTCATGTATTACATGACAGATGGTGGTTTTCCCGATTAGGAAAACAGTCATAAGGCTAGAGAAGCTATCGCCTGTTGCCAAGTAGCATAAAGTTACGGCCAATCTTTCGCCCACCGAAATCGCTTCTCGGAACCTTGTGGTATGTTTGAATATATATGGGAAATCAAAATCCTCCATACTCATCCTCAAAAAGTTTTTTAGCCACTTTGGATCCTGCCGAACTAGCTTAGAGCGCAGTGTAAAATAAAAACCACAGGTGGCTCTATCTCTCAGACCTGGCCGAATCCACCATTGCTCTTGCTTCCTCTGTTGGTTTCTCTTCTTTTTCCACGTCCTTAGTGTTTTTACTACACATAGCGCTGCAGTAGTTACAGGAATTTGTTTATTTTTGCGCATTACTTTTCGTATAAATTATTTTCGTACTTTTTTTTAACAATTTTTCTTTTATCAGCTGACAGTCTGTCAAACAATTTCACTTCACGTTTGACATCATTAATGAAAACGGAATGTCAAGCACCTGACACCAAAATTTTACGATAGTCTTTGACATGCACTGCTATATCGACATTTGGTCAGTTTTTATGAAGTAATGAAAACGCGTTTGACACCAGATTGACAGCTGTCAGATGAAGGCAGTTTTTGATGTCAGTGATTTTGACCTAATGAAAACCAGCCTTATCAGTCAAAACTGAAATGGCCGCTGACTGACAGTCAACCACAAAAACGAAAACGAGCGGCCACACTTTCAAACGGGAATTTGCGTAAAAATGCCGATTTTGATCGCCTATGTGTACACATTATGCACCGAGTGGAAATTGTTCCCTGCATGGAAGCAAAATATCGATATTTTCGACGTATCGATGTCTTTCCGAAATCACTATTAGGTATCGAGGGATCACAGTACCACATACTACCATATATTTTTTCTAATTTGTGGTACTACATTTTGGCTTATATTAGTAGTTTGTTCTTCATACTTATGTTTTTGCAGTATCTGATGAAAAATGGTTATTTAAAGGAAAAAATTATGTGGTTTTAATAAATGCGAAAATCTCTAATAAAGAAGGGCAATATTTTTTAAGTTGAGAAACGATGTCATCAGACGCTAGTTTTTGGAAATTATTTATTATAGCGAGTTTTATAGTTCACTCACTAAATGGAGATACAACTCCTTTACGACAGTGTGAATCGATCCGTATTGAAATGTGTCGCGGTATTGGCTATAATGAAACGTCAATGCCTAATTTAGTGGGCCATGAACTTCAAGGAGATGTGGAATTTACTTTGCAAACATTTGCACCACTGATTGAGTATGTGTGCAGCGCTCAACTCAAGTTGTTTTTATGCGCCGCTTATGTCCCTTTATGCACACCGAAAGTTCCCCTTCCAATTGGACCATGTAGAAATTTGTGTGAAAGCGTAAGGATGCGCTGCCACCCAGTGCTTCAAGGTTTTGGGTTCCCTTGGCCCCCGGCCCTGGATTGTAATAGATTTCCCAAAGAGAATAATCATGAAACAATGTGTATTGAGGGACCTGATGAAACACACACCGACGTGGGGGAAGGGGAAAGCTTTGGAGGAGCTCCAATAAACAAGTTGCCCTCAGCAACCCTTTCGCTGGAATGTCCTGGATTATCAAAGTCGCATATGTATGTAAAACTTTATCGATCTGGACGCTGTGCGCCATTATGCGAAGCTGATATATTATTTGGTCAACATGAAAAACATTTGGCAGAACTGTGGGTGGCTACATGGACATATGCTGAAATATTTTTGGCGTTGTTTGCTACATTGAGTCTTATACTAAGTGACAATTCAAAAAAGAATAACAATCAAAAATGGACGCGGGTTTTAACTCCGTTTGTTTGGTGCCATTTCATGGTTTCCTTAGGATGGACTGTACGTTTTATAGTAGGTAGAACTGGCACATCGTGTGGGTACGATCCGCAGCTACCAAATGTGCTGCTCTTACTGGTAGATGGCCTTTCGAATGCAGCTTGTGCGACGACATTTTTGCTTCGTTATTATTTTTTTATGGCTTCTTGCGCCTGGTAAATTGAGTAAATATACATAGTGATCATTATTTTATTACATAGCTTTATTTTTTTGTTAAGGTGGGCCATACTTTGTCTTACATGGCATAGAGATGTGCGGCGTATCAACCCGGATGAGTTAGAAAATTATTCAATTGACAACTCGGCTACTTGGGTAAGGAAAAGTCGTCCAGCAAATATCGAAAAACGAAACGAAAATTTGGCGATAATGGAAAGTAACTTTGCTAGTTTTGCGGCCTGGGGTCTTCCAGCATTTCAGACTGCTGCCGTAATTGTGGCTCGACTTGTTGATGCTGACGAACTACTGGGTAAGTAATAGATTTATTGGTTTTGTGTTGTTATTTAATTGTTGTCTCTATTTCACATATAGGCGCCTGTTTTGTTGGAAATCAATCGGATAAAGGTTTGCAAATATTAGTGGCAACACCGCTTTTTTGCTATTGGATTTTTGGCACAATGAATCTTGGCTCAGGATATCTAGTGTATCGTCGGTATAAATCTATATTGAAAAATATGTCAACTCATATTATCAAGCAACAATTGGAGACTAAATGTCCAAGCTACGACTTTGGAAAATTTTTATTCATATACTGCATACCTTGCGCCTTGCTTTTATTTGCGGCGATTTATGAATTTGCGAACATTGATATTTGGCTTAATATACCAGCATACTTGGTTGCTTCAGAAGGTTTTACAACACCAATGTGGCCATTTTTGACAAAAGCTTTTATGGAAATAACATTGGGAATTATTTGTTTTGCCTGGTTTCTTGGCCCACGAATTTCTGTAATATATAAACAGCAGGTAAAGATGCGCAATACAAAAGAAGGACCATTACCCACAAATACGCAAAGGTCCAGTCGCAATGCAAACCATAATTATAGTTACAGTACGGCATCTTATCAAACTATGCGCCCCGCAATAAATGCATATTCACAACGACGATCCCCAATGAGTTTTTCTATGTATCAATTATCTAAATATTCCAACAAAAAAGCCCAAAGTATCCACAATCCAAAGAATCTACAGAAGAGCCGTTATTATGTAAGACCAGCACAAATGCATTTTGAATGTTGTGGAGACGAAACTATTTTGTAACTGCATATTTAGTTTTCTTGCCTCAAACTGTGTAACAATAAGACTGTGATAAACATAGCAGTATAAATTTTTTCCAAACTTCTATTTGTAGATTACTTATACTAATGTAGCTATAAATGTTATGTACTGCCTAGAGGAAAACGTACTTAGTTCTTGTATTACTTTTGAAAAGTGCCATTAATTCTAACTGTAAAATAGTCTTATATCCTAGAAGCTATGAAGGTGTCAAAATACACACGTATTTTATGATTAATATGTACATACCTATATACATATTTAACAATGCAGCTATCTGTGGTGTACAACTGCAAAGCGTATGAATCAAACGGTTTAATCAAGAAGCGAAGTAACATATGTAAATGAAAGATAAAACTAAAAATTCTTTAAATGTGCTTTATTTGTGCCTAATGATTATAATACATAATTAAGAAAGTAATTGTAAATATTTCGGAATTCTAAGCATATTTGTAACACCTGTATGTATATGCAAATGTACGTATGTAGTATGTATTTATACACACATACATGACTGTAAAATATAATTATTAAAACTAGCAAATTATATTTTTTTTTTGGAAAAATATTAGGCACTGGCCCTTATTATGAGTTGCATTCGAATTTCGATCTTCGTTGGTTATCGAAGATCAAAAGTGAGATTCGTAGTATGAGCTATGCAACCGTGTCGAGATTTTCGTGGAGTATCGAATTTTCTGTCGAACAGAATTTTGCTTTCGATGGTGTATGGAAGTGTTAGAAAATTGTGAAAAATGTATGATTTTGCATTTGTTTTTTTACTTTTTGGCGGACACTAATTTTAAACAATTTTTATTAATTTCACGCAGTTCTAACGTCGTGAATACTAAACACAAGCTCGAAAGGCTGGGTTTACTTGTGAAAGAAAATCCCAATACTCAGTCGGCACGATCTCGGAGAACAAAATCGTTGCTGTTGCATAGTGAAATAATATATACTAGTGAACCCGCATGGCGTTAAGACGCCAAAATTGAGTTTAACCTTTTAAACAGATGGCAACACTATTCACAAACCTTAATAAATATTGCAAATGTTTCAAGTAAATTCGTCCATCCCTTTTGAACGAAGAGAGGTCTCACATGGCGTCGGTTTTTCATTTCCTCAAAATTCAAACCACCGTGCATCGCTAAAAAAGGTCGTAACTTCAAAAAATAAAACCTTAATGCATATTTGGAATGACGGTGCTGATCTGATGACCTTCACATTAAAGATCTGATGACCGTAACAAAAAAATTGTTTATTTATAAAAATTAACTCAAACCAATGTTTTCGGTATATTATGGGTTTATTCGAAAGAAAGATTCCCATTAGTTATGGAGCTCGATTTCATCATGTGACTGTCTTCGCAGTAGCGCATCCTGTTCACCCAGTTCCCCAAAACCTTGTTGATGACATACGCCTTAAAGGTCTGAATCGTTAATAGATTGTTCGCATTATATCGGTCCTTCACGGCATGGCACAAAAAAGTCTAAGGGCGTGAAATCACGGCTCCAAGGGGGCCAATTGACTTCACCGAGACAGCTGATAACACAATTACCGAACTTTATCGCTCAAAATAAAATTCGAATAGATGGCAACCCTAACAAAAATATTTTCAAACTAAAGTTCTGAACACATTGAAAACGACGAGCTACCGACCACAGCTTCCAATTTGTCATCTTATCTAAGCGCTTTGTCGATGGCGACATGATTTCTTTGAACGCGGCAGCGACATCATGAATTTGTATGAGTTTGACATAAAAGAAGAGGAAGAACCTTATCTGTCGCCAGAAAAATAGAATAGATCTAATCTGGCCACAACCACAGCCGTCGCGTAGCCCGGTCGTCGCCAAAATAATTGGCCCGTAGTCATAGTCAAAATAAAATCGACTTTAAAGTTAGTTGCAGCTTTTTGACATAATTTTCAATGGGATATCTGTCAAAAAAGCTGCAACTAACTTTAAAGTCGACTTTATTTTGACTATGACTACGGGCCATTATCTACATAAGAGTACGTGTTAAAATAATTTGACAGCTGTGGTTTGTAGCTCGTCGTTTTCATTGTGTTCGGGCTATAAAGTTTTATTCAGCCCTATTCTGCATTTCGATTACGTTCCCGCATTCCGCTCCGCTGGAATCGAACTTAAGCTCGTCGGCGATTTCAAGCATCCGTTGATGGTTACCCCAGCAACGAGTACATGTGTGAGTGTCGGGTCGAATGTCGGGTGCTTGAAGCTTGTCCGGCGACACTCAAGCATAAAGCGTCAACACCATTTGCAATAAAATTTCGTAGTGGGCGGACGTAAACATGTCTTCATCGGATGCCGATTTTTTGCTACTTGCCACTAAAATCTTTATCTTCCGCGAACTTGCTCATTTTACATATCACAACAAACTAACACACTAATGCTTGTCAACGCTTTGCGCCACTATCAAACAGACCGCTTGTCAAGCGGTCGCGTTGATGGAAAATCAAAAATTTTTGATTTTCCATCAACACGAGCCGACAACAAGTACGTGTGACACGACGATCTCCGATTGCCTCGGTTGCTGGGGTAACCATCAACGGATGCTTGAAATCGCCGACGAGCTTTAGGTATTCTGCGTTACGATCGAAACGAAAGGAGAAGAGGAAGACAGAAAACATCTTTCGAAATTAGCTGTTTGCCTAGGAATGTTTGAAATCGAAACAAAACAAAGAGATATTTGCCACCAAACTATAGCAGCACATGAAGTTAAAGTTTGTAAATATTTTAAAATAACTAAATATACCTAGCATCACTGTAATTTAAAAATAAAATTTAAGTGGATACATAATTATAATGAAATCCATAGCCGCGGCGTTATTGCTTGAAGAGAAGAACGAGTCCCAGATTGCTGATGCGGAAGTTGAAAGGCGGAGATTTAGGGACATGTTTGATCTTTTTTAGATGAGTGAAGAGTCATAAGGAATTCATCTTGTACTCTATTACTCATCGTTTAAAGTCAGTGAAATTATAAACGTTGTTTAGAGCAGTCCACAACATTTGCATTTACTACAGAGTGGAAAATTTGAACTCAAACCCATTTTAAAAGCCGTCAGGAGGAGGGGAAGAACAAAGCTTATCTTTCCATAGCAAATCGAATTCGAAACATACGCACCTCTTTTTAAAAAGTTAGTAAAAACGAGTGCAATAATAAAAGCAACTTTTTTATGTAACTTCACATTTTATGTATGTATGTATGTATCTATGTGCATACATCGATTAATTTTATATAAAAAGAATAAATTGTATTCAGTGCATTCACAGTCTTATTTATATATAATGTAAAAAAAACCGGTAATTCTCTAGGGTGGGGTAACAACTCCTAAAAAAGGTGCGGAAAATTCGGGAGGGGTACCAAACGACGCGTTTCGGCCCCCTAATAACAATCCGGAGGGGGGAGATAATATTATTAACCATTTAAAAGTTATGAACAAAAAACTTTTGTTAAATTTCGTTGTTTTCTATGGGCAATTACACCGACAAAGATTCACTAAATCACCTGTTCTCACTTTTTAAACACTATTAAAATATATAATTTAACTTATTTATTAAAGAAACACATAGTTTTATCAACCTAAGA